TCTGGTTCCCATGCCCCTTTTTCAGAGAGGTGGGAGTGGGACTGAGGTTAGAACTTTAACCTGGGAGCCAGAAAATTAATTTCATTTCTAGGTCTTCCACTGACTAGCTGAGCTGAGACTGGTAGTCAAACATAGTCCAAAGTTTTTCTGAACTTTTAAGTTTCTTCACTTGTAATAAAGAGAATAGACCCCAAATCTTTAAAGCCCCAATCTGAATTTCAAAAACAATTTCGGTACTGCTGCACTGTTCAAAAATATTTCTGGAACTGATTCCCTAGCTAGTCTTATAAAGTACTCAAGAAAACTAGTGTGAATTTTATAGTCACATTTCATTTTGTACCAAATATGGCATTGCCTAGAGCTTGACTTAAAATCAATTTGTTAACCTCAAATGACTTAGCTATTTCTAAAACTAAAATCTTCAACCAGGAAATATGTCTCTATTAAGTATGTTTAAAATTCAGGTTTTGTTCCAATAAGCAGTTCAAAGTATTTTTAACAATGGTAGCATTGTTGTCATCAGCATGTATAGCTTCCTAAAAGTGATTTCTTTAAAGGGTCGGGGCACATTAATACAGTATTACTGTTTTAATATTCATCCTAGAGATTTTTTTAATGTCCAAAAAAGGCTTTAGAATTGATGAAACAGCAATATGCAGAGTGTTTGTTATACTTAAATGGTGTGTCTTCACCTGGCTTTCTTTTTCCATTTAACATTCTAGAAAAGCATAGGCTAACACACAGATCCTTAAATGCTATAAAGTGTTCCTTACTGAAGCTATAAGGCAAATTTTGAAGTAGGAATGCCAGGTTTGCAACCCCGAAACATTAGGATGGTATGTGGTGTGGGCAACAGGGTTTTTTGTAACTTCCCATGTGATTCAGTGTGCAGCCGACATTGGGACAGTGGAGAATTCACTAGAAGTGAGTTCTCAGAGACAAAGGGCAGGGAGGATGGAAGAGGAAGGTTTTTTACAAAGTATCACAAATAGGACTGGGGACTAAGGTAAAATGTCTAGGATGACTCTTGGGTTTCTTCTGGCTTGAGTAATAAATGGGTTGTTGGAAATGTCTTTTACTGAGCTAAGGAAATAGAACAGACATGAGGAAGACAGTTCAGCTGGGCATTCATAAGGAGTTGACCAGCAGACAACCAACCCATCAAAGAAAAGGTTTAGGCTGATAGTAAATAGCCAAAGGCATGGGAGGACTTCTGGCGGACTGAGCAGACATGGACTGTCTAAACAAACACATGAGAGCCAACCTACCAGCCACTCCTCAAGAGAAAAATGAGATTTTCTGCTTCCAGGTAAACTATGGCCCAGATATCCGAGCAAAAGAATTATAGACGTATATTCGAAACTTAATACACCTCAAGATACTCAATCCCAGTGAAGGGTTTGGGATAGGAAGTGGGAAGGGTGTGTACCACTTTGAAACAGTGATGATTATGGGGCTAGAGGGCAGACACATGTTAATACAGGTGACAGGATAGACAATATAGAAGAGGGAGGTTTGCAGAGGAAAGATGAAGGTAAAGGGAGACAGAGAAGAATGCAATAGTTAAGTGAATAGAGTGTAAATGCTATTTACATGCGACTGCAAACATATGATGAAGCAAAGTATACAATTTGTTGAATGTAAAACTGATGATCTGCTCTGTAAACCTTCACGATAAAGTTTAAAGATGAAATTAACAATTATGTTAAAGTTAAATCAATAGTTAACAGAAGCACTGTACTGTTAACTACAAGGTTGGCAGTTCAAACCCACCAGCTACTCCTTGAAAATTCCATGCAGGGTCAGAGTTGAAACCTATTTGATGGCACTTAAAAACAGCTTATGCTGATTCTAAATTCTTAATTTACTAATTTATTTAATCCTAATAATCCTATGAGGGGAAAACAAAACAAAACAACACGTAGACAGAAACTTGGCAAGTAGTAACATTAATGAAATGCTAGAGTAAATTGTGGAGTCCTGGTGTGGGGCTGTAGGATAAGCACTGGGATCACATGGTCGGTTTGAACCGTAAAGTCAGCAGATGAAATTCACTAGCCGCTCTTTAGAAAGCCTATATGGTTGCTAGGAGTTGGATTCGACCTGACGCGACTTAACAACAAAGTAAAAGGGAGTCAAGCAGACTATGAAGAGTTGGCCAGGCGGTAGTAAACTAGAAAAGGGTGTCATGATACCCAAAGGAAATTTTTAATTACTATGTAAGCTATAACATGAGAAGATGAAGTGTCTGATATGACATTTGGGTTGCTGGAGACCTCAGTGAGGCCTGTTTTGACAGAAATGACAATCTGAGGCTATTAACTGAAGAGATAAGGAAGTGCAGAAGGCAAGAACATGCAGAGTACAGGTGGGAGGAGGGCAGGTGGGCAAAGATGGATGCTGGAAATGAGAAGCTCTGTGAAGTATTCACAGCTCTCTGTAAAGAGATGGTGGTGATGATTATATGCCACTAAGGCAGTTCTTACTCAGTGACCCTTACAGAGTGGCTGGTAGATTCACACTACTGACATTGCGGTTAGCAGCCCAGCTCATAATCTACTTACACTCCCAGGGCTCTCAGTAATTTGTTGAAAAGATAATACAGCCTAAGTTAAAGGCTGGAATCGTTGCTGGAAAATGATCTGAAGCATATGGAAAGACCACTGGTAATTGTTTAAAGGCATGGAGAACATCAACCACTGGTTATGTGTTTTTCTCACTGATGTGTAGGACACAAAAACCAGATATATGGTTAGACTGATTTACAGTGTGGAAGGATTGAGATTAAAAGCCAAACCACTGCATAATTTCAGTTAGCAGAAAACAATGATTGTCAACTTATCTACACTTCAGAATAAGGTGTACTTATTCTGAAAGAGATGCAGAAAACTTTTCACACCAAGTGGTGGAGGAAGCTAGGTAGGCATGACTTGCTTAACTTCTCAAGAATCAATTAAAATATAACATAAGAATTATTCACTTACTATGTATCCGTAACCCATGAGTTTAATTCTTAACCATTATGTTACCAAAAGCAATGAGTGTTTTGAGTGTCTAATGTGCTCAGAATTTGGAGACAACAGGTATGGTTTATCTTTGCCTTAAGAGAGTATTGTGGAAACCATTACAAAACAAAATCACAGTGCAAACAATAACAATACAATTAAGTGTAAAGCACAAATTTTTGAAATCTGAACCGAAATTGGATAATAATCTACTAGTGTTTTCAAGATATGTTTATGTGAAAGATGATTAAAGTTGTAGCTATAAAAACCTTAGCAGACTTAGGTAGCAGACTTTATAGTATCTGGATCAAGGGGTCCTGAAGTGACACAAACAGTAAGTACTGCAACTCTGCTGCAACCCAGCCAGAGGCACCTCAGAGGACAGGCCTGGAGATCTGCTTCAGAATGTCACCGCCTTGAAAACCTCTGGGGCGGTTTTACTCTGCACATACGGGGAGGAGGGGGGTATCCATGAATTGGAATGAATTTGATAACTAAGAACAACAATATGCCAACTACACAATAAGGGCAAGAAAATATTAAGTATCAACTCATCTTAATTTCTAAACAATATGGAAAAAGACCACTTTTCTTTGTAGTATAAAGAGCATTAAAATGTAGAGCCACAGGACTTGTACATAAAATTAGGAACTTACTTAATCCCGCTGGTACCTCAATTTCCTTTTCTGTAAAAGGGATAGAGTCTTACCCTATGTGCAAATTATGTGCACGTATATACTGTGCATAGTGTGCACAAGAAATAACATGCTGGGGGGTGGAGGCCTGAAGTTTGTGAAAACTGTAACGAGTGAGTTATTTGTTAAAAATGCAGTAATACTTATTCTTTCTAACCCTTAAAAGATTGCCTGAGAAACAAATGGTCTAATTTGAAAGTTTCATAAATATAAACTCTTAAGTGTGGCCAACTAAATGACTAAATTCATTATAGTAAGTAGAATGTTAAGTAGTTCATGACAACAATTAGGAAGTGGTCACATACAAATATTTGGCAAATATTAATTAAGGAACAAAACTGAAGTATAATTTCTTCACACAGTAGTTGAGAAGGGGAAACAGAATTTCTGTTACTTTTGAACTAAGATCATCTCCACACTGGCTTTTGATTATCATAAATATCACCAGAGACCAAAACACAAGATAAATTTCATTTCTATATTTTCAGAAAACCTACTTGAATACACTTTGAAACAAGAGTACAACAAAATAGAATATACTTCAAATGTTGAATATACAAACTATTATAGTTCAAATCTGAACACTGGTACTTTCCCTCTTATTAAACTTCAACTAAAAAGAAAAAAAGGAAAAAAAAAAAAGAAAAAAAACCTCCAGGTTTGAGAGTTACCTGACACAAATTTCATGCTGAGCCTGAACTTCCAAGTGACAGTGGAACTGAAACTGATATGTCTACACAGATGCCAGGGCTAAGTGAGTGACATAGGCATGTTACAGCAAAAGGCCAGAGGCGACTTCATTTGTCCACAATGAAGAAAACTGACAGACTTAAACTACCATATAAAATGTTACATGTAAATTCTATAACAATACTGTGCTAGGTACAAGATTTTTAAAATTTTTCTTTTAATAAAAAAGCTTTACACAAACAAGCCATTAGCTTATTTCAAGAAAGAAAACCGAAAATTAGTCTAAGGCCTTTGTTTTAAATCAGCTTAAGCTATATGATATAAAAAAATCGCACTAGATCTTTTTGCTATCCTCTTTCTGAAGCTTTTGGATCCATTCTTCAATTCACATTCTAAAATACCTATATTAGCAGAGTCTTCACATAGCACCAGTTAAGTGAATACTGTGCGAACACAGTAATAATTGCTGGTATGCATATAAAATGCATCAAAAATTGCTATATGTAACAATGAGCTCACCCGCCCAACCCTCCCCCAGTGAAAACTATGTAACCTCTTACAGAATTTTAGTGTTCCAAGTCTTAGTGTAACTTGATATTGTAGTGAGCTGCTTGGTCCCTTGCAATCCTTTTTCTACTGATGGGTTCAGTTGTTTCCCATAGTAAGAGGCAGTTTTCTGTCAGCATCTCAGTATGTAGTTCATTTCCCACTGAAACATGGGCTAGGTAATTTACTTCCAGTAAGTGTGATTGTTTCCTTATATGCCTTAAAAATGTTTTAAAGTCTTCTTTTGACTTTTCCTGATGACAAGTCAGTACTGTTGAGCCAACTACCAACAGTCCATGTAGAGTTGCTATTTTATTTCTCACATGTCACTAGTCCTTCTGTTTTCATAGTTACAGGAAGGGCAATAGCTGAAGGCGCACTGACCACCACTACGTGGGTCACTGTCTTATTTCCATCTGCTGGTTTCTCATCTTGTACCAGCTGCAGAGTTTTCACATCATGCTCCTGCTTTTTTGCCACTGCTTCCGATTTAACCTCTGGCCCTTTGATGACAGCACTGATAACTCGGGGAGGAGTCTGGCCAGATGCCTGCTGGGTAGGCACTGATAGTCTCATTACAGGTGCACCGTGGGCTAGTGAAACAGGGGTAAGTGCTCGCACAGCCAATGGCGTTCCAACAATGTTAATACTCCCTGATCCAGTCAGACTAGACTTTGTCTGCAGTTGACACTGTGCAAGTTGTGTAGCTGGGATGGTAATAATTTTGGCAGGCTGCATGGTGATTTTGTCTCCACTTTCAGTAGAGGCTGGCATCACAGTAGGGATTGTCTGAATGACTACCTTTGGAGAGGTTGCTGTTGTTGGACTAGTACTGGTGATTAATGGTGCACCTGCATTCACTGACTGGACTGCCACAGTTGAAATTTTCTGACCCAATGATGTCATTACAACAGGTACTTGCATTGCCACACGAACTGTCCTAGTAGGAAGAAAAAAAGTTGATTAGAAAATTAGAAAACTATTCTATTAAAGCAAAAAGATGAATGAACGGACACTCAAAATGTACAAAACTGGTGCCCCCAAATTTTACAAATATACTGACAACCCTTGAAATTTACAATGAAAAATACCACAAAATATTAAAAAACTAAGCATATATTAAAACTCTACCTAACAAAAACCGTAAAGACCAAATTAGTTAAGTATCAAAACAGACATTTAAAATACTCATTTCCAAAGTCTTGCCAAATATGGGTTCTTAGAATGCTTATTTTTTTAAAAGAGACATTTTTAGCAGGGAACCTTCTAGAAGATGAACACAACATTACAATTAATGGTTTGCCTCACCTTGGAGCTGCTGTGGCTGATACAGATGCTGTGGTAGTAGGAGACCTGGATGAAGCATCATGACCCGGGGAAGTGAGATTCACAACTCTAGGTACACCCTTCTCTGCTCTGGAACAGTTGAGAGGAGATGAATTTTTCCCACCACGTACAGAGGTTGCTGCTTTCAGGAGACTTTCTGCAGACAGTGACACTCGTTCTAATGACTTTTCATCAGTTGCTGCTGTTAAATCTTCATGACAGGTTTCACTTTTGTCATCGTCTATGACCACTATATTTTTGGGCATATCCTTGAACTGATATACAAGCCTCTGTCCTTCAACCTTTGCAAGAATCCCCCTTTGGTAGTAATACCTGCAAACAGAAAAATTACTTAACAAATGATTTTATCACTTTGTTTGTAATCAAAGTACATTATTTTTCTCTTTTTTATCTGGTTTTGTACAAATTCTAATTTTGGATATAAAAGCCAAAATTTTATCCTCTTAAGTCCCATTCTTTAAGATATGAAATGTGTTCTAGGCAGAACTCTAAAGCCAATACAATAACTAGTTTTCAACTCTAATATCCCTAAGATTCTACTGGACTCAGGCCTTTTAGTTTAATCATGTTTCTATTTTCTGTGCATCTTAGAAACATGACAGCCTGGCAAGGACAATAAAAGCATCTCCCTCCTCAAACAAAAAAAAATGAATTGTGAACTAATTGTAAAAATAATAAATCGTACACATTAGTCAGCTTATTCTTAAAAGTAAATTTTCATAAATTATGCAGTAGGGAAACTGATATTGTATCATTCTATCAAATAACCAGTTATCTACATACCTCGGATAACACCACTATAACTCAAATGTAATACAAAGCAATACTAATGCTATTAAGAATAAAAAAGAATCAAATTGGCCAGCTTGTGGACTTTTTCTACTCTTGAGGTCAGTGGCTATACTGCCTACAACGTAAAGAAAAACCCATGTAGAATAGACACTAGCAAGCATTCACTTATTTTCCCATAAAAGATGAAAAGGAAGGAGCTCTTACTGTCTGAATTATGCAAAACACTAAGGATCTGAGACCCGTAAAGCAAATAAAATTATTTACTTAACAAACATTTGCTTTGTTAAAGGAAAAAATTTAACCTGACTACAGAGTATTTCAAGGATCTCTGGTAGTGTAGTGATTACAAATTGGGCTGCTAATCTCACAGTCAGTAGTTCGAAACTACTAGCTATTCCATGGGACAACTATTAGGCTTTCTGCTCCCATAAAGATTTACAGCCTCAGAAACCCTACACAGGGTCGCTATGAGTTGGAACCAACTCCACAGCACATTAACAACAGAGTATTTCACTGACCGTTGGTAGAAATTCAGTTCCGATTTACACACAGGTTATTATATGGGAAACAATCTATTATGTGGGAAAAAAGTCCCTTAGCTAGCTCTAAAAACCCACTGACATGCAGTCAATTCTGACTTAAGAGTGACCTAATAGGACAGAGTGGAACTGCTCCTTCAGGTGTCCAAGGCTGTAAATCTGTACAGGAACAGACAGTTTCATCTTTCTCCTGCAGAGAGCAGCTGGTTTAAACAGGCTAACAACTTTGTGGGGTAGCAGCCCAACATGTAATCCACTATGCCACCAGGGCTTAGTGGAGATGGATTTGTGGGATATGTGAATACTGTCGCATAAATGATATGTTCACTTACAAGCATCCTTCATTATGAAATACCCAATACAATGAAAGAGTTTTGTGCATTTTCCAAACTCTATCCAAACTGATGACATACAAAAGTTTCTATCAATTTAAATATATTTCAAGCACACTTGCAAATGTTATAAAGCAAATAAGCAAAGTGCAAACTCTTTTCCATTTGTGTTTCTTTTTTTAAAAGTCCTAACAATTTGAAGAAACAGTCCTAAATAAAAAAACACATTGGTGGGAGAAAGGAGGTGTAGGATTTTCAATTGTCATTTACATTTTAGACATCTAACTCCATGTAACTCAACTCATCTACTCCATATCCAAGAAGCAATTCTACAATGTCACTAAAAGTTAAATATTGTAATAAAGATGATATTTACACTTTATGGCTAATAAATAACAAATATGTAAATTTGGTTTGATTACTAACATAAATGTGTTCTTACCTCAAAGCTCGTCCCATAGTTTCATAGTTCATGTCTGGTTTGTTCTTATGCTTTCCCCAAAGCTTGGAGACAGCCTTTGAATCCACAAGCTTGAATATGCCTTTTTCTCTCTGAGTCCACTTAATATACCGAGGACAAGTATTTTTATCTTGAAGTAGATCTAAAAGAAACTCCCACAAATAGATTGTGTTTCCTTTAAAAGCAAAGAGAAAACAATGATAGGAACTGATTATGAATTCAACATAATTAAAACCCGAACATTTAATACAAAGTAATTTTATTTTTAACATAATCCTAAATGTACTTCTTTTTAGAAATTTACCAGCTACTCCAGAGAAGCAGCAATGCCAGAGATGGGGACTCTAGATTCATGGGAAGAGAGGAACTAAGACCTGGTGGCCAGGAGGCAGACTTATAGATTGTGCCCTTTAGAGGTGTAAATTATTATTTATGCCTGAGTGGTTTCTAAAGTGAAAGTGAATAGAGAGAAATACTGTTAACTGATGGTACATGGAGGTGATTATAATCATTGTAATGAAACAAGGTATATGATTTGTTGATTATAGCCTCAGAAATTCTATACAGGGTTACTATGAATTGGAACTGAATCCACAGTACTTAACAACAATGTAGTTGAATTGTCAAAAGTCTTGTGATAGATATGAGGGGGACTTCAGAAAATTTGGAAAAATGGGGTTAAAATACAATGGGCATTGCATTTTTCCATGAGCTTTTTGAAGCCCCCTCATACACAAGGTTGAATCAAAAAGTATTGCTACTTAGGTTCCAGTTCATACACGGTGGTAGCTGTGTGCCTTAAGTCGGTTCTGACTCAGTTACCCTGTATAGGGTTTTCAAGGCTGTAAATCTTTACAGAAACAAAAAAGCTTCATCTTTCTCCCACTGAACACCTGGTGGGTTAGCAGCCCAACTCTTAACCCACATGCATGGGTTTATTCCAAACAAAACATGTTTAACTATGTCTCTGCAAACAGTGATGGCTACAGATCAGTTCTCTCAACTGAGACTTAGACATAGGACAGTCTTGGAGGCATATCAGGAAGAAGTTTTAAGAAAACTGAAAGCTGCACTGGTTAGAAACCACTACCGCCCATACACCTTACAGGCCTGCTCTTGCCCCTCCAGACTTCCTTTTGTTCCCAAAACCTAAAGAACAAAAACAGAGGAGTGGTTAATCTTACAGTCAAGAAACAGTGGACCCTAGGATCATCAAGGGAGAAGCACACAAGCAGAATGTGAGACTTTATCCAGAGATGGGGACTCTAGATTCATGGGAAGAGAGGAACTAAGACCTGGTGGCCAGGAGGCAGACTTAAGATTGTGCCCTTTAGAGGTGTAAATTATTATTTATGCCTGAGTGGTTTCTAAAGTGAAAGTGAATAGAGAGAAATACTGTTAACTGATGGTACATGGAGGTGATTATAATCATTGTAATGAAACAAGGTATATGATTTGTTGAATGTAAAACTGATGATCTGCCCCCCGCCCCATAAACTTGCACTCAATCCACAATAAAAATATAAAAAAGAAAAGAAAAAAAGAGAACATTTCAAAGGAACACAATTTTACTCCTCATGTATGCCAAAACTGCCATTCTGTGATGGTATAAATTGAAAAGTGAAGAATTCTTTGGAGAAAGGTTATGGAGAAGGAAACCATCTTCAGAAGTACATAGACCTAAGTAGAGAATAATATGTCAAGTAACAATTGCTTCACAGATTTTTTTGTTGTTGTTTATAACAGGTTTCTGTGATTTTATAACAATATTTTTAGACATACTCTCTATTTACAACAAAGAGTAGCTACTGTAGAAACTTATGTAAAACTAAAACACTTCATGGGATTCGGTCCCTTGGTTTGGAGGTTAGTTAGAGTTGTGGTTTCACAGGGTGGTGGTGGCTGTTATGTGCCGTGGAGTCAGTTCCAACTCATAGCGACCCTGGTACAGAGTTTCCGAGACTGTAAATCTTTACGGGAGCAGAAAGCCTCATCTTTCTCCAGTGAACAGCTGGTGGTTTTGAAGTGCTGACCCTGAGGTTAGCACCCCGATTCATGGGGTATCCCAGCTAATTGTCGACTGGGGTACTAGTGTTTCTGTTCTGCCTCCTGGTTCATGAGGTCTTAGAGGCTTGCCTGCGGCCATCCCAGGAGGAGCAATTTGTCTCTATTTGCATGGAGCAACAGAAGGAGAGCCAGGAAAAGGAATGTGTGGCTGTCTAAATGAACAAATGCCTCTAATGCCATGAAACCAGAAGAAGTAAATGGTACCAGGCTAGCTATCATTGCTGAATATTTTGATCAAGGATTCTATAGGAAAGTCCTGACTGAAGAAGAGTCAATATGCAATACAGCAGTTCCAAATCTCATGAATAAGGCTTGATAAACCACTGAAACTACTGGCCTGGGATAACCCTTAAACCAAAAGCATCTTCTGAGGTTTACTTTATGACAAAGTAATCATTTCTATCTATATAGGATCAAAATGACAACAACTCGAAAAATTACACAGGAACCTGGAGTTTATGTACGTTACTGAGGTGAAGAAAAACTTGAAAAAGAGTGAGATGGGTTGCACAACTGAAAGAATGTAATCAATGTTCCTGAATTACAGACATGAAGTATTTAATTTCTATGTTCTGCTGTGTATTAACAAAAACAAAAATTATAAACAATCCCCCTCCCTCACCAACAGTATTCATGTGTGTCAGGTTATGATCCTATATCAACTTTTATTAAATTCGGACTTTAGCAAAGACAAAGGTGTAATAGTACAAAATTAACCTAAATAAAGCCTAATTTATTAATTAATGGCGCTCCAGCTACACAGTGGTTAAGCTGCTAGCCATCTGCTTCTGTAAAGATGACAGCCTTGGAACTCTTATAGGGCATTCAGCTCTGTCCTATAGGATTCACTATGAATCAGAATTACAGCAACAAGTGTCAAACTTCATTAATATACACAGATTTAAACTCTGAATATATGAATGTATTGGCCCCATGTTTATGACTATATATTGTTGTTGCTGTTGTTAGGTGCCATCGAGTCCATACTGACCCATAGCGACCTTATGCACAACAGAACGAAACACTGCCTGATTCTGGGCCAACCTCACTATTGTTGCCACGCTTGAGCCCATCAATGCTACCACTTGGCCAATCCCTCTTGCTGGGGGTCTTCCTCTTTTTCTCTGACCCTCCACCTTACCAAACATAATAGTAAGCCCCAAATTCTATGATAAAAAATTCATCAAAACTCACTTATTCATTTTACTGAAAAGGCAAGACATTTGCTTTTAGACATGAGTCCTAAGATTCTCATAAGAAACATATAAGGGGATTTCAAAAAACGGATGTGGGAAAATAGAATTGAAAGATAGTGGACTTCCTCTACAAACTTCCTGAGGTCCTCTCATATTTCTGATTCACCTATGATGAACTCCAAGGTGCATGTCTTACATAATGCAAATGACAGTATAATCATTTAAACATTCTCATATCATTATCCTCTGGACTAAAGCTGCTCCCTCAAAAAATAGATTATTTTTTAAATTCTAAGAATTATTTTCTATTGATCATATCTAGTACTATGAAGATTAAGTCATATTAAAAGGATGTCATTATATACAAACTCTGTTATTATACACATTTGAGCTTCAGTCTTAAAATATGAGCACTTAATAATAGATAGACTAAAAAGTAACTTGGTGATTCCTTAAACTAGTCAAGTATTCATCAAATGTTAATTGCATAACATGAGCTCGGGACCATTCTACTAGCATAATTCAAAATGACAAAATACTTTAATATTAAATATTTTAATATTTCTTTAGAATAAAATATGTATTAATTACCTATTATCCTTAGATGTAGTAAAGGATAGAAACACATTAGAAATCTGGTCCTTGCACTCAAGGAAAATTTACAATTTAGTTGAAAAGGAAACAAAATTTAAATAAATGACAAACAGCATAAGAAAGCTTGAGTTTGAAACAAGTGATATATCACAAAGCAATGCATAATACTTTTTCTAAATGAATAATAGAAAATAACAACTATTAAGTGTCAAGAGTAAAGTAAAATGGGTAAGACATCATACAAAGTCTTAGAAGATAACTAAAATTTGCACAGAAGGAAAGGAAAGAATCTGGACAGGTAAAATATTCTCTTTGTAGCTTCCAGAAGCAGAGGTTCTTAAACTGCAGAAGGAAATGAATCCTGAGAATAACATATGCCATCAATGAGACACCAAGACATCTCTAGACTCCTGTCATCCTTCTATACTTTTCTCAAATCCAGATCTAACTTACAGGCTTTTTGTTGTTTGTTGTTAAGTGCCGTCGAGTCGGTTCCGACCCATAGCGACCCTGTACAGGGTTTCCGAGGGTGTAAATCCTTACGGGAGTAGAAAGCCTCATCTTTCTCCCGCGGAGCGGCTGGTAGTTTCGAACCGCTGACCTTAAGGTTCGCAGCCCGATTCGTAACCACTACGCTACCAGAGCTCCTTTAGTAACATAAATTTAATAGCAATGAATGGTGATTTCAACTGGTAAAAATGGGTTATCACAATGTTTTTCTTCAGTGTTAGGCATAAGTATAAGAGATACCACTAGTGATGTAAATTCTTAAAAAACAAAGCCAAAACAGTAATAATTTAATATTCATGGTGTAGCTTTCTATGGAGTCCTGGTGTGGCACTGTAGGTAAGCACTGGACCAAAAGGTCAGTTTGAATCACAAGGCCCGAAGTTCAAACTCACCAGTTGCTCCTCAGAAACTCTATACAGGGTCGTTATGAGTTGAAACTGACTTGATGACACTTAATAACAACACTGTATAATGTTTAAAATTTTCAATATACACAGAAAAATAACACCTAAGATAAGTGAAATGACCAAAAGACAGAAAAGCAAACAAAGTTCTCCCACATTCACCCCAAATTGAACGATAAGTTCTGAAGAATTAAGAATTCAATTGAATTTTCTGTCTCACTCAAAACCTAAATTTCTTGGAAGACTTACAAGAGATTTTTTTTTACTAGAAACTTAAGAGTTCTGCTTTATAATGATAGAACAAAATTTTATCTAGTAATCCTAAATGTATCCAACCATTTATTAGCAGTTTCAAGACATGAAAGTGACATATTTTGTTATCAATTAGCAAGAACACACCTAAAAATCACTGTTGAAATGTTCCTTGAAATCAACTCATTCAACAAATAAGAATTAAGAACATGACCAGAACTGCTGTTGCTATTTTTGTTTTTAATTAGAATATAACAAATTCTCAAGCAAAAACATGTTTTGTTCAGACTTCTGACTGATACTTATTGACTTAGGAATTAAATTCAGCTTGCCTTGAATCTTGCACTGCCTTCTGTCCATCAGGAATCAAAAACTAGTCTCAATTGTGGTAGAGGTGGTGGCTATGTGCCGGAGTCGCATAGCGACCCTGCTTAAGGTTTCCAAGGCTGTAAATCTTTATGGGAGCAGAAAGCCTCATCTTTCTCCTGTGGAACAGTTGGTAGTTTCACACTGTTGACCTTGAGGTTAGCAATCTGACTCATAACCACAACGTTACCAGAGGTCCTAGTCTCTCTCAACTGTAAAACTCCCTTAATTCTAGGAATCCTGGTGTGGTGATGTGGGTTAATGCGCTAGACTACAAAGCCATTTGAACTGCAAGCTCACCAGCTTCTCTTCAGAAACCCTATACAGGGTTGCTATGGGTCGGAACCAACTTGACGGCACTTAACAACAACAGACTGCAAAGTCGGTGGTTCAGGCTCACCAGCTGCTCCTCAGAAACCTTATACAGAGTCGCTATGGGTTGGAACCAACTTGACGGCACTTAACAAGAACAAAAAACTGGTTCTAAAACTTTGCTTGCTGGAAGTGAAGAGAACTTAAAAGCTTACAGGATTGCATCTCAATGTAAAGAAAACAAAAATCCTCACCAATGGACAACCTTAACCCAATTCACAACAAAAATTTACAAAGAAAAAAAAAATCCAGAAATGTTTGTGCTCTCCTCTAATGAGTCTTTGTAGGGTTGTTATTATTATTAAATGCCGTTGAGTGGGTTCCGACCCATAGTGACCCTCCAGAGGGTTTCCAAGGAGCAACTGGTGAGCTTGAACCACTAATCTTGCAGTTCAAACTGACTTTGCAGTCTAGCACATTAACCCACACCAGGACTCCCTTTTCAGGGTAGCCACAGGTATTTTGAAAGCACAACCCAGACAGTGTTGATACATGTCCTGATTCAAAACTACTTCCAGAGAGAGAATCATGTGCATGTACTAGAAATAACTACCTTACAAATGCCAAAATGTCGTTATCACTAAAAAATTAAATCCCACCTCCAAAAACATCTCTCCCCACCAAATTACCTTTTCCTTCTCTAGGTTTCTTCTTTATACCTAATTCAGGTGACCCATTGGAAATTGGTGATGGCTGGGCCTTTGGTTTTCGGCCAACTGAAAAAATAAGATATTAAAAACATGAAAAATAATAGGAAGCATGATTAACAAACTCTGATAACACATTTATTCCTGAAACTGGGCACTAATCTGCAGATTAAACTTTCACAATTTTAGAGTATAGCAGTTAATCAGGTACTGCTCATCTGTTATTTACATGCTCAGAACCTCAATGTTGCTTAGCAATGGAAACACCCTCGAAGGAAGTTTCTGTTTTCTGTTCTGCAGATTAATAGAAACAGCTTTACCTACCTATTACAAAAGTGCTAATAATTTGAACTCAAATGAGTAAAAGTAAAAAACATGCTATACTTCTCTGAACCAATTTATCATAATTTACATATAAATGCTCAATTTTCCCCATGTCATTGTGCAAGTACATTAAAAAAAAAACAACACTTACAAATAATTTCTTTACATGTTTAGTAAATATCTGCCCTTTCCCTGTTCCTCCTCAGTTCTTCCATAAATCTCCTTCAAACAGACAATACACCAAAAGGCCGGGCTACACTACACTTCTCTTCACAAAAGAAAGCATAAATCAGAAATGTGCTGTATTTGATCCTCGACATTAATGGATGAACACTGGCAGGTGAGAGGAAGTCTCAATAAAAAAGATGAGAACATTCAAAAATACATTATCTTTGCAGGTTAATTATTACTGATTGGGGGCCACTGTCCTACATCTGGAATTTCTGATACTCCCCTACTCTGCATTAGCAGGGGTTATCAAAATCAAAGAATTATCAAGTTAAAGGGCCTTTAATTTATATTTCAAAATGCATAATAGCTATTATTTTCCAGGACCTCATTCTGATAATCCTCATCAATAAGTCTGCTCTCACAAAAAATTGAAGCAGAAAAGTTCCTTGTTAGAAAACAGAGCTTCATTTCTTAATTTAGATATTTGTATGTATATATCAGTCAGTAGTAAAACCAACATCTTCACAAGTTACTAAATTCAGCAACAAAAGTCCAGCTTCTTTCCAAAAAGGACTTTTCCCAAATCACGTTCCTTGAAACAGTAAGAGATTATTCTTCAGTAGGAAAAAGGGCTCCATAGTCAAATAACTTTTAGAACACTGCATGCTGTCCTTTTTTTTGAAGATTTACAAAGTATCTTGTTGCTGCTGTTAAGAGCCATTGAGTCAGTTGTAACTCCTGGTGACCCAGTACAGGGTTTCCAGGGAGCAGCTGGTGAGCTTGAACCACTGACCTTGTTGTTCAAACTGACTTTGCAGTCCAGTGCATTAACCAGGAGTCCATACAATTAACCACCTTAGTATGTCAAAAACTCTTGAGAGTAAAAAAAAAAATTTTAAATAATAACCTATCGAATTTTGTATATTCTAAATGTACCTAATCACATAAGCCTTTTAATAGAAATAATGTTGTTATAGGTAATTTTTAAATGATTATTAAAATTTTTCAAATAAATAAAATTAGTGATAAATTGGCAATTTATTTTCCTGGTTTATGTCATGCCACATAGGCTATTTATCTAGAGTTCTGGTTCCCTAAATGACCTTGTTTTTCATGGTTTTTCCAGTCCTTTTTAATTTGTTGCTTATTTTATTTTAATAACGAAGCCTACTGTGATGGGATTCATTTGATCCAATTGTTGTTGTTGTTAAGTGCCGCCGACTCGGTTCCGACCCATAGTGACCCTGTACAGGGTTTCTGAGGGTGTAAATCTTTACGGGAGTAGAAAGCCTCATCAATAGTGAATAGTTATTATTATACCTAATTGCGATTGTCACAACTATAAAGGCAGAGGTTGTGCAACAAAAAGGGGAGAGTAGTTAATCTTACATTCCAGGAACAAAGGACCCTACGAACATCAAAAGAGAAGAGCATGAGCTGAACGTGAGACTCTAAACCAGAGAAGCAGCGACACCAGAAGTGGAGGCAGAGGTTATGGCATGGAGAAGAGAGAGCAGCTGAGTACTCTAGACTCATGGAAAGAGAAAGGCTGTGTGCTGGCGGTCTGGAGACTGGAAAGTTCTTTAAATGATTACATATCCCTTTGTAATTTTTTTACAGTTGTGACAGTCACAATTAGGTATTTTGTTTGTTTCGTTTTAATTTTTGTGTATCAAAGGGTAAAAAAATAAGAGAGGGGAGAATTTTCTGTATAAAAGAAACAATCTATGATGGTTTAGAGGAGAGAATGAAATGATACATGCGCTTGAGGGTGGACACGTGTTAACATGGGTGACAGGACAGGCAATATACAACTGGAGGGAGGTTGGCAGAGGAAAGATGGGGGTGCAGGAGATACAGGGAGGAATGCAATGGCTGTTGTAAATAGAAGTAAATGCTCTTAACTATTGATGCATGGAAGGGATCACAACCATATAATGAAGTGTATGATTTGTTGAATATGAACTGATAATCAGCTCTGTAAACTTTCATTCAAATTCACAATAAAGTTTTTTTTTCAAAAAAATAATAATAATGAAGCCTACTATTTATAGGCAACACAGAAAAACCAATTTCCATCTTACAATTACAGTGGGAGCCAATTCTTCCTTCTAAATAGTCATCCCTCTCTCAAGATACAAGTAACAGAATTTTCATCATATCCCCTACAGCAATGAACACAGAACTGTGTAAACTGTTAACAATTCTAAACACTTCTGATGAATGAAAGAAAAGCATCGTTATTTCTCACATACATTTTCTCATATTTTTGCATTGGATTTTTTGTTTTTCCACTCTAAAATATAAAAAGCGGGAAGAAAGTGGCATCAGAAGAGTACCTAATTACTAAGGATTTCATTTCTTTCAAGTTTTACCCTTTGCTTTGAAAAAGATAAGGACCTGCTTACTGCCCATCTCCTGGTGACCTCTGAGATGTGCTGGAGCCTTGTGTCTCATCCACTGGGGTCAATGGGAGCAGAATGTTCAACAGGAGTCAGTCAGTCAAATAGTAAGTACAACTGTCCCTTACTTTTCCCATTGGTGAGTGACAAAATGCTTTAACTTATTAACTCTCTCTCTCCTAAATAGGAAAAAGTTTATTCCACTTAGAAGTCTCTTGGTAATCTTGGTGTTTTCAAAGTAGAAGGTATGGAAAGAAAATAATACTGGGCTTTTTTTTTTTCAATATCCATAAGAAAGGAAAAGAAAGTAAGACTATGAAAAATGGAGAAAACACAGTTTTTCAAAAGGATCACAAAACAGAAGATAAGGGTAAGACAACTGTGCAGGACATCGCTTGAGCTTCCTTCTATATCTAAAAGCCTCATTTACAGTCAAGTACTTTAAGGGTTCAAATACTAATTCTTGTAAACTGCATAAACATGTTAAAAAATAACCCCGAAAATCTCAATTTGTTGATACTTTGAGACTACGTAATTAAGATAACATTAACCTTAAATCTGTATTATAGACATTTTCTATATACTTTGATAGGTACAGAAACCTGCATTCTCAGAAATTCATAAAACACTACCTTTTTTCTTTTTCATGGGTTCATGGCTATCTGGTGATGTAGGAATAGGAGAGGTATCCATTGGTTCAGACTCTTCAGTCGACACCTCCACTACAGTTTCTGTAATGACATCTGGCCTCATAGCAGCATGGATAAACTCTGGAGTTGATACACAAGGAGGGACAAACACTTCCACTATAAAAAAAAGTTGAAAAATTAAAATTCCCACCCCCATTAATGTTTCTTAGGTGGACAATTCAAGTGGTGAGGCTTATTAAGAATTACTAAAGGCAGGATAAGCACTACTGAATATGATCTAAAGTATGTAAAGATATAAATACAAAACAAAAAAATCAACTTCAATTGGGAAATAATTTGAAAATATTAATAGTGGGTTCTTTTAACAATTACTTTTCTCCCATGTGCCCACTATTGTTCTTTTAACTAGGCAATACATGCACATGGTACACAATTAAAGACTTACAAATGGGTATACAGTTCACTTTAGAATATAAAGAAAAACAAAACCTAGCCGTTATAGATACAAAATATCTTTCAAAACTTACAATTCTATTTAACAGAATAAGGGTCTGTTTGAGGTCACAAAACAATACATACTGATGGCCACTTGGTATTCTACTACATGGGGGCAGTGATGATCTAGCGGTAGATCATTCCTGCGTTCCATGAAGGAGACCTGGGTAATGTAACTCATACACAGTCACCCTTATTTGTCTTTGGAGGCTTACATGCTACTCTGAGGCTGAACAGGTCTCAGCAGAGCTTCCAAACTAAAATGAATAAGAAGAAGGCCTAGAAGTCTACTTTAGAAAATCAGTCAATGAAAACTGTATGGATTACAATGATGTGATCCATACCATGGAAATGGTCTGTACCAACCATGGGAATGGCACAGGACTAGGCCATATTCCAGGCACCATTTTGTTCTGCTGTGAATGGGTCACTGTGTGTAACGGGTCGACATGATGGCAACCAACAACATTACATCATATACAATAATGTTGCTCCAGCTTCCTACCCATATGCCTGAATAATCAGGATATGGTACTCTATTTCAAGTAAGAGATGCAATTAATATACATTAGCAATGATTCCTGGTGTGGTGCTGTGGGTTAATGCGCCACACTGCAAAGCTGTTTGAACTGCAAGGTTCAAGCTCACCAGCTGTTCCCTGGAAACCCTATACAGGGTCGCTATGGGTCGAACTAACTCAAAAGCACTTCACAACAATAAGGATTAATGTATTGACCAATAATGCCCTAATGGTCTTCTCATGAAGTATATGAAACTCCTATTGCAAGCAAAAAATAATAGTTGCTCTTAAGTCCCTATGAGAAGAGGACCAATCTTATTATTATAAAAGTCAAACTAATATTTAAATTAGTACAAGTTTAAATTAGGAAAAAGTGACTAACAAAGACAGTATTTAAGAAAAAAGGGATAAAGAAAAAAAGAAGGCTGAAGAAGGTGTAAAGAAAATGGTGGAAGCTACGTCCTCTCTCCTTTATGGATGGTTCCCTGAGTTACTACTATTTACGTCACTGAATAAATGACTGAAAGTGGGCATGGGAGGCAACTGCCCAAACCTGTCATGCTCTTAGGGATTCCAAAAGCTTTTAATTTACCCAAAGGAAACAGACATGATATTATAAGTTAACAATTTAACAATCATTTGTCTATCATAGCATTTTCTGTATCACTTATAAAAAAATTAAGTATTCAAAGTATTTAAGATTTGGGAACTTTGACATATAAAGATCAAGTACTTGCTTTCACCAAAACAGCCCAACTGTGTTCTTAATATCTTATGTTACATGTTTGACATAAAAATGAATTGTTCGCATACCAGGACTTCGTGACTCCCTCAAGCAGGTAGGAGATTCCATATGAAGTAGGGCTTCAGCAGCTTCAATTGTCTTATCTGTACAATGTGCATTACTGCTGTGAACTGATGCTTCCACTGGAAGGAAAGTAAGTTCTTCTCAATTACAAAAGTACTTTAAGTATATACACATTAATTATTAAATACATTACGAAAGGAAAATACATTACTGAAAAAAGAAATCCATAACCTTGTTTATAACTATGTAAATCACTTACAGAAACAATTTAGAAATCAAAGCAAATATCTACACTTTGTAAAATGACTGCTGGTTATAGAGGAACCACTGAAATTAACTAGAAACTACTGATAACTTCCTAAAGTTGACACATCCCCCCCCCCACAAAAAAAACAACAACAACAATGGAAAATGCTTGAAATTTGAACCCTGTATCAATATTAGGCCAAGAGTAACTCGGGGTGGAGGAGGATGGTTGTATGTAACAGTCCTATGATATCATATTCTGATGTTGTTGTTGTTGTTGTTGTCAGGTGCCGAGTCAGAACCGACTCATAGCGACCCTATGCACAGCAGAACGGAACAATGTCCGATCCTGGGCCAACCTCACTACCGCTCCCACACTTGAGTCCATCAATGATGCCATCTGGCCAATACATCCCGTTAGGGGTCTTCCTCTTTTTCTCTGACCCTCCACCTTACCCAGCATGACATCCTTCTCCAGCGACTATTCTCTCCTGACAATATGTCCCAAGTATAAGAGATGAAGCTTAGCCATCCTGGCCTCCAAGGAGCAATCTGGCTGCACTTCTTCCAAAACAGATTTTATTGGTTCTTTTGGCAGTCCATGGCACTTTTAGTATTCTCCTCCAACACCACAACTCAAAGGCACCAATTCTTCTACGATCTTCCTTATTCACTGTCCAGCTTTCGCATCCATATGAGGCTATTGAAAACACCATGGCCTGGGTCAAGCACACCTTAGTCCTCAAGCTGACATCTCTGCTCTTAAACACTTTAAAAAGTTCCTGTGCAGCAGATTTGCCCAGTGCAATACGTCGTCTGATCTCTTGACTGCTACTTCCGCGAGTGTTGATAGTTGATCCAAGCAGATTGATGTACTACCACCTAGAAGAGCTCTGGTAGCATAGTGGTTACGAATCGGCCTTGTACGCGCAAGGTCAGCAGTTTGAAACTACCAGCTATTCTGTGGGACAAAGATGAGGCTTTCTGCTCCTGTAAAGTTTTACAGGCTGGGAAACCCTGTATAGGGTCACTATGAGTGGGAACTGACGGCGCATGACAACAACAATCTCCCTAAGTACCTAGCAGGATTGGCACCTACCCTAACTGGAGTCCTGGTGTGGTGCTGTAGAATACGCATTGGACTGCTGAGCACAAGTCTTAAGTACAAATGCACCAGCCACTCCTTTTCCTAAGAAATTTTATAAAACGTGTTTCTATGCTTTTTTAGTTTTCTGACCCACCCTTTGCATCTCTTCTAGCACTAATTTTATATAATCTTCTGATCGAGTTACTTGCGAAACAGTAATGTTGTGTATGGGTACAGAAGCTATTTGGGCTATCAGGGCCAAAATTCAGATTCACACTATCTTAATCGAGCGTAAACCTCAATTTCCTTTTTTACAACACAGGACTATATATATACATGGGGACTTCAAAAAGTTCTTGAAAAATTTCAGAATCTTTTCATTCAATGTTTCTACAGACATTTTGTAGTTCCCTTGTATATACAGAAGTGCAAAGCTCTCCATCCACCACTCCTCCGTCAGTTTGTAGTACTGTGGTAGCTTGTATATGTTGCTGTGATTCTGGAAGCTAATCCACGGGCTTTTAAATACTAGCAATGTCTTCTATAGTGGACAGGTTTCAGATGAGCTTCCAACAAAGACATACTAGGTAGAAGGAGAGAAGGACTACTTCCAAATATTTAATCACTGAAAATGTTATGAATAGCAGTGGAATACTATCAGCACCAGATTACTGAATACTGAAATATAATGAAGAGCACCAGAATATTGTCAGATATAGTGCTGGAAGATGAGACACTCATATTGGGAGGCACTCAAAAATGTGACTGGGTAAGAGCTACCTCCTTCAAAGTAGAGTTGACTATGAAGACTTGAATGAGTAAAGTCTTTGGGACCGTCATTTGCTGATGGGGCACAACTCAAAACGAAGAGAAACAGCTGTAAACATCCATTAATAATCAGAACATGGAATGTATGAAGCAGAAATCTAAGAAAATTAGAAGTTGTCAAAAATGAAATGGAACACATAAACATCAATATCCTGAGCTGACATGGACTGGTATTAGCCATTTTGAATCTGACAATCACATGGTTAAATATGCTGGGAAGGACAAACTGAGCAGGAATAGTAAAAGTATTCCATTCAACATTAAAAAGAACATACCAAGATCTGTTTTGAAGTACAACACTGTCTGTGAAAGGTTAATATCCACACATCTAAAAGAAAGACCAGTTAATACTACTATTATTCAAATTTACTCACTAACCACTAAAGCCAGTAATGATGAAATTGAGGAATTCTACCAACTTCTTCAATCTGAAATTGATCAAACGTACAATCAAAATGTATTGATAATTGCTGGTGATTGAAAATCAAAGGCTGGAAACAAAGAGAAAAGATCAGTAGTTGGAAAATATGGCCTTGGTAACAGAACCAATGCTGGAAAACACATGATAGAATTTTGCAAGACCAATGGCTTCTTCACTGCAAAATACCTTTTATTACAACTTAAAAGATGACTTGTACACATGGACCTCACCAGACGGAATACACAGAAATCAAATTGACTACATCTGTGGAAAGAGATGATGGAAAAGCACCACATCGTAAGTTAAAACAAGGCCAGGTGTAGACTCCGGTCTGCTCATATTCAATTTCAGGCTGAAGCTGAAGAAAACGAAAACAAGTCCATGAGAGCCAAAATTTGACTGTGAATATATCCCACCGGAAGAAAAGATTTGATACATTAGACACTAAAGACCGAAGACCACAAGAGTTGTGGGATGACATCAAGAACATCATACAGAAAGAAAGCAAAAGATCATTAAGAAGACAAGAAAAAAGATCAAAATGGATGTCAGAGAGACTGAAACTTGCTCTCTCACGTAGAGATGCTAAAGCAAATGGAAAAAATGAGAAGGTTAAAAAAGCTGAATAGAAAATTTCAAAAGGCAGCTTAAGACAGTCAAATATTATAACGAACTGTTGAAAGACCTGGAGTCAGAAAACCAAAAGGGAAGAACATGCTCAACATTCCTCAATCTGAGAGAACCTCAGAAAAAAATTCAAGCCTCAACTTGAAATACTGAAAGATTCTATGGGTAAAATATTGAATGACAAAGAAAACATCAAAGATGGAAGGAATACACAATCACTGTACCAGAAAGAGATGGCTGATGTTCAACCATTTGAAGAGGTAAGCATATGATCAAGAGCTAAAGATACTGAAGCAAGAAGTCCAAGGTGTACTGAAGATATTGGCAAAGAACAAGGTTCTATGAATTGATGGAATACAAATTGAAATCTTTCAACAAACTGATGCAGCACTGGAGGCACTCACACATCTATGCCAAGAAATTTGGAAGACAACAGTGTGGCCAACTGACTGGAAGAGACCCATCCATATTTGTGCCCATTCCAAGAGAGGTTACCCAACGGAATGCCGAAATCATCAGACAATATCCCATGCAAGCAAAATTTTGCTCAAGATAATTAAAAAAACAGGTGCAATCATATATTGACAGAAGAACTTCCAGAGGTTCAGGCCAGATTTATAAGAGGACATGGAATGAGCGAAGGATATCATTGCTGACAACAGATGGATCTTGGCTAAAAAGAGAATGTCAGGAAGATGCTTACCTGTGCTTTATTGATTATACAAAGGTTTCCAACTGTGTGGATCATGATAAGCTATGGACAACATTACTGAGAATGAAAATTCTGGAACACTTAACTGTGCTTTGAAGAACTTGTACACAGACCAAGAGGCAGTTGTTCAAACAGAATTGGGAAACACTGAATAGTTTAAAATTAGGAAAAGTCAACACTAGGGTTGTATTCTTTCACCACACTTATTCAATCTGTATGTTTAGAAAATAATTCGAGAAGCTAGATTATATGAAGAAAAATGTGGCATCAGAAATAGGAAGAAGACTCATTAACAACCTGAGATAAGCAAATAATACAACCTTGCTTAAGGAAACTGAAGAGGCTTTAAAATACTGATAAAGATCAAAGACCACAGCCTTCTGTATGAGTTGTGCATCAATGTAAACAAAAATCCTCACTACTGGATCAATAACTAACATCATGAAAAACAGAGAAAAGACTGAAGTTGTCAAAGATTTCATGTTGCTCAGATCAACCATCCACACTAATGGAAGCAGCAGTCAAGAAATCAAACTATGTATTGCACTGGGCAAATCTGCTGCACAAGACCTCTTTAAAGTATTGAAGAACAAAGATGTAAGTTTGAGGACTACGGTGAGCCTGACCCAAGCCGTGGTATTTTCAATAACCTCATATGCATGCAAAATTTGTACAGTGAATAAGACCATTAGAAGAATTGACACATTTGAGCTATGGTATTGGAGGAAAATATTAAAAATACGATGGACTGCCAGAAGAACAAGCAAATCTGTGTTGGAAGAAGTATAGCCAGGAAGCCAAGAAGGCCAGACCTAGCCTCTCATACTTCAGACATATTGTAAGGATGAACCTGTCCCTGGTGAAGGATATCATGTTTGGTAAAATGGAGGGTCGGGGAAAAAAGGGAAGACTTCCAATGAGATGTACTGGCACAGTAGCAGCAGCAATGGGTTCAAATGTGCCAACAAGGTTGGCGCAGGATCGGGCAGTGTTTCATTCAATACCGACTCGATGGTACCTAGCAACAACAATAACATAGCATAGAAGGTTGCTATGAATTGGAATCTAATAGCAGTGGCATTCGGTTTGGTTTAGCATATAGATGAGAATTCAATAAATGGTGAGAAATTCTTATTTTAACACTCCTTATAAACTCATGTGGAGTCCTGGTGTGATGCTGTAGGATAAGCAAGGTCTT